GGCCCGCCCCGTGAGCGTCGCTGGCCAGTCACGTGCCCCTGCCGTCACGTGCCTGCCAGTGCGGGACCTGAGTGTCGCTGCAGGCCGGGGTGGCGCGGAGGTGAGCGGCCGGGCCGGGGTCGCGGGCACCTTTCCAGTCCCTCAGTGTTCTCCCGGGGCTCGGTGGGGAAGGCCCTGTGGTCCCCGTATACCGGGGAAACCGAGGCGGGGAGAGGCTAAGGAGCCGTCTGTGTCACCGGGCTGGGCTTTGACCCGGCTGTCCTGCTGTACCAAGCTGCACTAGGGAGACGTTCCAGGGACCTACAATTGACCCTTGACCTTTAGTGCTTCCCCATTTTCTGTGCAAATTGTCAGGCCTGGAGATGGAACCGCCCCGTTTACCGGGCTGCAGGCAGCCTCTTTTCTTTCTCTGGGATCTCTTTCCTCATCTGTAAAAGAACAGCTCCTACTGGCTGTGCCCTGGACCACCTCAGCAATTGTTGAAAAATTCAGATGCCTGGGCCCCCAAATCAGAGCCTCCAGGCGGGAAGGTTCTAAAGCTTGAAAGGCCGCCCTGGGGCATCTCAGTGTCTGCCCTGACCGTCGACCCCCAGTCTCGGCCCTGAGTTTCTGGTCTCTGATTCAGACCGATGGCCGCCGTCACGTGTGTCTGGAGGGACCAGGTGGTGTTACCAAACCTTAGAAGGTGGGTCCTTGTCCAGGGCGCTCAGACTTGCCAGTTATCTGGACACCAGTCTTTGAGAAAGTAACTTCACTGCAATGCACAGAGCAAGAAGCCGGGAGGAAGTTCCTCAGATCCAGCTCCCTGAGTTATGGGGAAGCAGGGCTTATATGTGATTTGGGCCGCAAGACGGCGGCTGCGCAGGCGTAATGGGAAGGGAAAATTCTAGAAGGCAGTCAGGAAACAGGAGGTGATGTGGTTCTTGTCAGACCTCTTGCTTCAGAATAGGGTCCAGGTGATGATTTTCCTTCTGATACCTTACTCCTGTTGCTGCGTTCCTCTGTTGAGGTCAATTAGCGGTCACAGCTGGCCCTTCTGCGCATTGGGGTGGGCCGCATCTGGCTTGGGCTATTTTAAGGACTAATGGAAATGTACTGGCATTCATAGGGTCAGGTTACAGTGGGGCTGGGACTCTTGCACCAGTGGCTCACAGGGACTCCATGCTTTACTGCTGCCAGATTGTTCCCAGCAGACCTGTTTGTTACAGGTTCAGACCCTGAGCCTAGGCTCACTTCTTCCTGGGTGTGCGCAGGGCCGTGAGGATGTGCCTCGCAGACCCCCAGGGTCCTAGCCCCTGTGCTCTGACATGCATCTCACGTGTGCATGGAGGCCAGGCCTCCCAGCCCAGAGCAGCCCGTGAGGGAGGCAAAGGCAGGCCCCTTCCTCGTGTCCGGGACTACTTTGACAGGCACCTTTGGCTCAGGGACCCACCGTTGAACTTGCCGAGCCTTCCCAAGACTGCACAGGGGCTAGGAGGGGCTGGCGGTTTTGACCCACCGTTCTACCTCTCCTTGCCGAGGCTCAGACCTGCATCACGTTTGCTGGTTCTCAGTCTTTTCCCGGGTCCCTCCCCGCCGTCATGCAGGTGGAAAGAACACCCCGACGGGGCCGTTGCTTCCATCAGTCGTATGTGGTGTCTGCTTGGAGGAGCCAGACTAACTCGCTTTTCTTTACAGAATATTTAGCATTTCCGCCCAAAAAACCAAGCTCCTTGCCCTCGAGTCAGTTCCGCCTCCTAGCGATCCTCTCTAGATCCTGCAGTCTTGAAGCAAAACTAAATCACTTCTTAATCTTACTGCCTGAGGCTACCCAAACACAGCTGGTCATCAGCTTTGTACCTTGTCAGTATCTGTACCAGGGAGGTTCTGGGTGCTGCTGTCATGGAGACCCTGAACAGCGGTGGCACAGAGAAGCCCATTTCGCCTCACATCACCGCTGGGGCCAGTCACCAGGGCCCAGCCCTACCCTCCCTGGCTTTGCCATCCCCAGGGGTCGCTGGACTGTAGTGCCCGAGACCTCTCGCTGCCCTGGATCCACGTCCCAGTCAGCAGGATTCCCTTCCCAGATGAAGGGAAGGCGTCATCTCCACTTGCATCCCGCTGGCCACGCCCAAATCGCCTGGGCCCCAGTCTCTACGCAGAGGTGACTCACCACGCCTGTTCCGAGAGGCTCTTGTTGCGCTCAGCGTCTATTGCGCAGGTCTCCTGCCATCAGATCCTAATGCACATTAAGCGTGTGTCACTCGTGACCTTTGAAAGAACTTCACAGCACACGGGATTCTCCAGTTGCCGTCGAGTTGCCCCTAACTCACGGTGACCCCACGAGTGGCAGGGTAGACTGTGCTCCGTAGGGTTTTCATTGGCTGATTTTTTGGAAGTAGATTGCCAGGCCTTTCTTGTGAGGTGCCTCTGGGTGGACTTTTGGTAGCTGCCAAGCATGTTATGCTTTGCACCTGGCAGGGACTCGTTTCTCTTTTTTTCCCCCACCCCCATTTCCGTATAAGCAGAGCTGCACAGCCTGGTCTGTGGCCCTGGGGAGCAGCCCACCGCCGCCTGCCCCGAGTCCTTATCAGTGCTCCGGCGAGGGTCTGCTCGGGTCCCTGACCCCCACCTCACGCTCTGCACCATCCTCCTTCCCCACTGACCCAGCTCCGTCTCCCACAGGCCTCTGCATCCACGGCTTCTCTGCTGCCCAGCTGACCATGGGCATGGGGCAGCTGCCCTGCTCCAGGCACCTGGCCTGGCCCCTGCTAGGGACATGCGCCTTCACCCTCTTGGCCACAGCTGCCCTCATGGCGCACATCCTGCAGCGTGATTTCACCGTGGTTCCCCGAGAGTGGAGCGGGCTCTCCCAAGGACTGGAGGAGGCTAACCAAGCTCACAGCCGGGGGCCCGAGCATGCCCCGGAGAGCCGCAGCAGGCCCGGGCCAGTGCCCACACAGTGCGACGTGCCCCCCAACAGCCGCTTCGACTGCGCCCCCGAGGCGGCCATCACCCAGGAGCAGTGCGAGGCCCGTGGCTGCTGCTACATCCCTGCTCAGCATGGCGCCCAGGGCCCCCGAATGGGGCAGCCCTGGTGCTTTTTTCCCCCTAGCTACCCCAGCTACAGGCTGGAGAACCTCACCGCCACACAGATGGGCTACACAGCCACCCTGACCCGCGCCGCCCCCACCTTCTTCCCTAAGGACATCCTGACCCTGCGGCTGGAGGTGCTGATGGAGACCGAGAGCCGCCTCCACTTCACGGTGGGTAGGGCAGGGGCTGGGCAGGGGCAGAGACCAGGGGTTGGGGGCGGAGACCAAGGTTCAGAGGCAGAGACCAGGGGTTGGGGGCGGAGACCAGGGGTAAAGGGCAGGGCAGAGACCAAGGGTTGGGGGCAGGAGAGAGACCAGGAGTCGGGGGTGGGGCAGAGACCAGAGGTTGGAGGTGGAGCCCAGGGGTCGGGGGTGGAGACCAAGGTTCAGAGGTGGAGACCAGGGGTCAGGGGGGCAGAGACCGGGGTTGGGGGCGGAGACCAGGGGTAAAGGGCAGGGCAGAGACCAAGGGTTGGGGGCAGGAGAGAGACCAGGAGTCGGGGGTGGGGCAGAGACCAGAGGTTGGAGGTGGAGCCCAGGGGTCGGGGGTGGAGAGCAGGGGTTGGGGATGGGGCAGAGAGGAGAGAGTATGTGTGGACAGTGACATCAGCACATTCTCCCAGGGCGTTTGCTTGCCACACAGGTGTTTCCCCTGCCCTACTGTGCGCTGGGAGTGGAGGTGTAGACAGACACACGCCTGTCCTCAGGGAGCACTGGGGACCCAGACACAGTGTGGGTGCTCTGGAAGGCAGGGCTGGGGCACAGGAAGGAGGTCAGGGTTTCCCAGAGGAAGTGATGGCGAAGCTGGGCCGTGCCATCCGGGTGACAGAAAAGGGATGTTCCCAGCAGTGAGGGCCCCACCCCTGCCTGTCTGCACCCTGAGGCCAGGACTCTGTCTGATTCAAAGCTGTTCTCCAGGCCCCTGAGGCAGAAGGGGTCTTACCCTCACTTTTGCCTGGCATATAGTAGGTAACAAGCAAGAACTGTGGGCTGAGCGGAGGTGTAGCCTCAGAGGGGAGGAGCCCGTGACTCCGTCTGGCTGGGGGCTTTCACAGAGCTGAGAGTAACAGCGGGCATTACTGGGGTTCCTACTTACCAGACGGATGCTGAGTGCTCCGTGTTTCTCCCTTGGTCCTGTGACAAGGAACGTGAGGTAGATTGGGCTGTGGGATTTAGCAAACAAAAGGACAGGAGGCCTAGTCAGTGTGAACTTGAGACAACCAGCAAATCATTGTTTTAGCATAAGTACGATCCACCCGATATCGGAGACGTACTAAAAGCTGTTGTCTGTATGAAACCCACGTTCCCTGCACGGTCTGCATTTCACCCGCAGCCCAGGGCAGGTGTCCTCTGTGCAGCTGCGGGAGCTAGGCCCAGGCTCGCTGGCTGCCCAGGGACGTGAACTGCCCCCTGGTCTTCAGCATCACTCGTTCTGGGGGGTGAGGGGGGAGCGGGAAGGTGTGGGGGTGGCCAGCGCGCCCCACGAAGGGCCTCGGGTGCCACCATCTCTCTCCCTCCTTTTCTAGATCAAAGACCCAGCTAACAAGCGCTATGAGGTCCCCCTGGAGACCCCGCATGTGCATAGCCGGACCCTGGCCCCGCTTTACAGCGTGGAGTTCTCCCAGGAGCCCTTTGGCGTGGTCGTGCGCCGGAAGCTGGACGGCCGGGTGCTGTGAGTGCTTGACAGGAGGTCCCAGGCTGGGGGTTGGGGTTGCCCTGTAGGACCAGAGTGTCCTGATGAGCCTGACAAGGGGACGGCATCATTCCCCAGCTCTGGTCCACGCAGACCCTTCCCCAGCCCCCACTCCGCTCCTGCCTGGTCACTGTCCTGGAACGCAGTGTTAAGCCCCACCTAGCACCCTGGCCTCCCTGGTCCCTTCCCTGGAGTGCCCTTCAGATCTGGCATGGCTGCCTCTGCCCCGTCCAGAGAGGCATCCCCCCAGGGTGCCCTGCAGGGTGTGGTTTTGCTCTCTGGGAAGACCCTCTCAGGCACCCTGACCCACCGGTGCAAGGAAGCCTCGTCTCTCCCACAGGCTGAACACGACAGTGGCGCCTCTGTTCTTCACTGACCAGTTTCTGCAGCTGTCCACCACCCTGCCCACCCCGTACGTGGTGGGCCTTGCCGAGCACCTCAGCCCCCTGATGCTCAGCACCAACTGGACCAAGATCACCCTCTGGAATCGGGACATGGCCCCCGAGGTAGAGAGCCGGCCCGCAGGGACACGGGTGGGGCTGCGGGCTTGGGTGTGGTCTCTGGTCCACAGTGAAGAGGTGGATGGGGGCACGAGATGTCCTGACCCCTCTGGAGGGACTCCCCCAACCCCCAGCCCCGTTCCCTGTGTGTGGGGTCAGGTGAGAGCTGTGTAGTCTCCAGGGAGCACGGCGCCTGCGTTCCAGCCCCGCTTGGGGTCCTCAGAGAGAGTGACGGGAGCCGTCCGCTCCTCTAGTGACCCCGGGGCTCTAGGCCAGATCTGGGTTTCCTCAGAGGACCTTCTGCTGCTCTTGGAATCCTGAGGTGTGTGCAGCTTGGCATCCACTCAGGACCCCGAAACACACTCTAACCAGGGATGTTAGGGGTCCAAGAGACTTTTAAACTCCCTGTTCCTCCTCCCCCCAGCCCTGGTAACACCCAGTGCACTGTGGTCTCTGCACATTCGCCCATTCTAGACATTTCATATACGTGGGATTATGTGACACTTGCCCTTTTGTATCCGGTGTCTTTCGCTCAGCGGGGTATTTTCGAGGTTCACCACGTCACAGCGTGTATCAGGACTTCATTGGTTTTCACGGCTGAATAACATTCCGTTGTGTGGATGGAGCACACTGTGTTTATCCATTCATCTGTTGATGGGCACTTGGGTTTTTTCCACCTTCTGGCCATTGTGAACAGCGCTGCAGTGAACGTGGGTGTACAAGTTTGAGTCTGAGTTTCAGCTTCAGCTCTCTTGGGTGTATACCCAGGAGCGGAATTGCTGGATCAGGCAGTAGTTCTGTTTAACTTGTTGAGAAACCAGCGTTTCCCACAGTAGCTGCACGTGTTATGTTGCCATCGGCAGTGTACGAGGGTTACGGTCTCTCCCCTTCCTTGCCAACGCATGTTATTTTCCGTTGTTTTTTTTTAATCATTGCCTTCCTAGTGGGGGTGAAGGGGTGTCTCACTGTGGTTTGCATTTGCCCATAGGCTTGTTGAGAATTTCCCCACCCCCGCACCCCCCAGTAGAGCTCTGAGGGCTGAATCCCCACCCAGAGAGAATTGCCCAGGAGGTGTGCTCGGGACCCTCCCGTCCCTGGGTGTGGGCTGGTGCAGCCTCGTAACAGCCGCTAGGGAGCGAGGCTTATGGATGGAAATCTGGAGTCCAGAGGCTGAGCAGCTGCCCAAGACCCCTGGCTCATGGGCGGTGGGCCAGGGCCAAAGGCCAGAGATTTGATTATCTGCTTCCGGAAGGCCTGGATTGGGACTTGAGCAGGGAGAGGCCGTTTTGAGGGGAGTGGGTCAGGAGTAGGGTCCTGGGAGCTGGCCGGCTGGGTAGTTGGGGAGGGGCGCGTCACATACGCGCTGTGTCCTGGGGTGAGCACGTCTTCAGGGCCATAGCTCAGCATATGTGGTCGTGGGCTGGCAGGCAAGGGGCTGACAGTACCATCCCCTGCCCCAGCCCGGCGTGAACCTCTACGGCTCCCACCCCTTCTACCTGGTGCTGGAGAACGGGGGTTCAGCCCACGGGGTATTCCTGCTAAACAGCAACGCCATGGGTGAGTGAGTGGGCGCCCGCCTCAGCTGCTGCTGGAGCCCCCAGCTCCCCAGCCAGGGCCACTCCTGACCCCCAGGCCGGCGGCTTCTCTGGGTGCAGCGGCACCCTCTTCCCCAAGGAGGGAGCACAGGGTTCTGTGCTTCCAGCCGCAGAGGCTGGACGCGGATGGGGCTGTGTAGGGGGCCAGGCCTTGTCTTCTCAGCTGAGTCCGGTGGGCTGGGGCCTTTCCCAGCTCTGCCCTTCGGTGCCCCCAGGGTGGGCTCTGGGGCTCTGCACTGGGGGACAGGCAGAGGCCAGAAAGGGGAGTCCCGGGGACTCAGAGCCTCAGCTCCCAGGTGGGCTCCCTGTGGGAGTCCACCCCCGCCCCCACCTGGCTGTGGTCTGGCCTTCTGTGGGTGCTGAGGGCTGCTGGGGGAGGGATGGGTGCTAGTCCCTGAGCCCAGAGCTGCTGTCCCCACAGACGTGGTCCTGCAGCCGAGCCCGGCCCTCAGCTGGAGGACAACAGGTGGGATCCTGGACGTGTACGTCTTCCTGGGGCCGGAGCCCAAGAGCGTGGTGCAGCAGTACCTAGCGGTCGTGGGTAGGCCCCCCCGGCACGGACCCCTGCCCCCGCCCACGCCCCTCCCTCCGCCCCTCACGCCGGCGTGCCTGCAGGGTACCCGTCCACGCCGCCCTCACGCCGGCGTGCCTGCAGGGTACCCGTCCATGCCGCCCTCACGCAGGCGTGCCTGCAGGGTACCCGTCCATGCCGCCCTCA